TGCTCTTGTTCTTTGGCGTGTGTGGTAATCTTGCCATCCCCTTTGTTTCTTATCGTACAACCCTCAGATGCCCTCACGTAACAGTTCTGGCGGTACTCGACTTCACTGCAACACTGATTGGTCCAGGCAACATGCTCCTGACTATTATTATGGGCCCGACTTGGCTGGAACATAACAACATACTCTGTCAGAGCCTGAGTTTTTTGAGCTCCTGGGCACAAATCACTTGCTTCTTGGTTCTATTCTCTCTTGCTGTGTTCTGTCAAAAAGTGCAAAATAGGATTCAGTCAGATCAGAGACACCAGGCCAAAAGAACAGAACTTGTTTTTCTTGTTGTGTGTTTGTCAATAGGGTTGCTTCTAGGTGTTCCTCCTCTTTTGGGCTGGAGTTCGTACAATGGCCTCCTTTTATCACACATCTGTACCTTACAAAACAGTGATAAAATCTTCTCAAACTTTTCTATCCTTTATCTCGCTTGTTCTTTCATTATCATTTCCATCACCATCCTTTTTGCTGTCAGAGCAATAAAGCGACGGCGACCGTACCCAGTGCAGCTGTTCTGGGAGAGACATAAACTAGAAACGAGGATTAACGACCCTGAGATGACAACTAACGCGTCTTCTTCGAATTCAACGTCGGCCAAATCGTCGTGCAAGTCAGGCCGATCGTCCAGACGGTCAAGTGTGTTATCTGGCAGACGGTCTGGCGTCATGTCGTCTTATAGCAGCCCCATGTCAGTCAGGAAGGCGTCCACGTGGTCTCGTTCCCTTCAAGGACCTTCAAGTGTGCTGCTGGAGATTCTTAGCCGTGAAAGGGCAATTGACAAACAAAGCGGAGGAAACGGAAGTGATCCCTGCTCAGCACCGGAAACGCGTGACCGCCCAATTCCGGGCACTGCTTCCGGTACGATCGAATGTGGCTCCCCTGGGGATCCATTTGTTATTTCCTCAAGAGTTCCCTACAAGTTTCCAAGGTTGACGAAAATGAAGAACGTTTTCCAGAGTCCACGATTTCTGCCTCCATTCAAAGGTTTCCAGCAACAGCGCTCGTTGTCTCGTTTCCTGATGCTGAGGTGTTGTGTGACAGTGTTTTGTTGGTTGCCTCTTTATGTTTCACTTGTGCTACAAATCTGCTCCGTTGACTATCCACATCAAGCACACATCTTCGTTTCGTGGCTAATTTTCACACAGTCTTCAATCTCTTCCCTGTTACCATTGTGTGACGCTACCTACAGGCAGGCTTGGCGCCGGGCAGTGTACTCATGTTTCAAGACATGCGCAGTACAGAACGAAAAGCACGTTGAACTGTCCAGCGCACGTGATGTAGAATGCAGGGTTGAAGGAAGCGAACAAGTCCGACTGAGAGAAGTGATTCCTCTTGAAGTACAAAGGCTGTGACAAGGAGACTAGTTGCCATGGCTGCTGATTGAATGATTGACTGTTTAATCAATTAACTGATTGATTGCCCGATGGATTGAGACTGATTATTATTGAAATAGTTATCATGTTAAGCATATAAAGCTAAAGTTACAAACGTGAATTCGTGATCCCTCAATCACAAATTCCAAGGTTTTTATTGTTTTTAACTAAGGAGTGAAGGTCCTCTTCATGATAGTATAGATTTTAAATATTAAGCATAGTTTGGAAAGACGATGTGGCTGTCAGCAAAGGAACATTTGTAATATTCATGTATAGAGCTCCTTATAATTTTATTTCGACACTCCTAGTTATGATAGTGTAGTATATATAATTTGAAGGTCTATTTGGGGATTAACTCTCTTGCCCTTCCGTTAATGTAGTCAATATGGTTTCTGTAAGTAGAATGACTGCTGACGTTTTTTTAATTCAGAACGAATGTACATTTTCCCTGGAATGAGTGTAATCCAGCTTTCTCAAATGTATTAACAATTCATCAAATTTAAACAAAGAATATCGTGACTGTGACGGTGTTTGGATATCTGATCTTACTTAACATATATTTTTACGATTTATTTCTCTGTTTTCTCCTTAGTTTTAGTTTCGATTGACGAGATATATCAAACACGTAAGACAGTGTTTGACCACGTTACCAAACACCTCAAAGTTCGTCAAAAATACTCCGCTACGCGTCGTATTTTGAACTTCCTTCTCGGTGTTTGGAAATGTGGTCAAACACGGTCTTTCGTGGTTGATATAATACTTCTCACCACGTTTATTAATTCAATCCGCAATAAACACGCCTCCTCCACTACCACAGCAACAAAACGACAATGAAGCCTTTATTTATCATGCATGATTCAAGGCGACTGTCTCATAGAGAACTCTAATCGATTTTTTCGTTTGTTAATTTACTCACATACAAGTGAATATATAAAAGTTCATGTACAATTAAGATATTCTTAACAAATGCAAAATAAGGTTGTATCTGTGAACCACTGCGTGCGCATTCACTTTACCCGGATTCTTTTAACTCATTTATCTGCAACTTCGTAACTTTACTTAAGCTTTTATTCTTTGTCCAGTGCGGAACTAGCGCTCAAACAACCTAGAAGAAAGAGAACGTTGTTAGAACAAGTCACATGACCGGGTTACTGCCCAAATATCGACCAAATAGAGTTTCAGGAGAGTGCTTCGTCTTGTTTTCTCATGACCCACCGACGAAGGCGCTTGGCGGCCTAAAACCTAGCAGCTCGCTCCGCTCGCTTAGCTTTTCTACCCTGAAACTCATGAGGTCGACTTGTAGCAATCTGCGACCACACTCTGACACTAATAACTGAAGTGATCGCATACCCAGTTCCCACTCTCCGTGGATTGCGGAAGAATCTAAAAACGAGCAAAAACTCCTTCCCTTTATCTATCAGTGGGAGTTCTGGATACTGAATTTCTGTAGGTTTCCCTTCATCGTTTTTATCTCTGTCGTTTTTTTTTTTTTGGTTCATTGCTACTTCTCGGTTTCACTCTTGATGACATTTAACCTCGTTTCAGGGTTTCCTTGAGAAAGGAGAAAATTCTTATTTAGGGAACAAAGTTAGTTACGGCATTAAAGAAGTAAGGGCTAAGAGCGCAAAT